GGAGGGGCTGCCGGGGGCGGCGGGGGGCGGCAGCCGCGGCCCGGCCCCTTCCCGCCTCGGCCGCGGCGTTCCGGGGGGGACGCTTTCTGCGACGGACCCATGGCGGCACGGCGGGCTGGGGGTGAGCGACACCGTTTCCCTTCCCCCTCTCGCCTCGCTCCGCTCTCACCCACCGAAACACCCCGGCTTGTCCCCGGGGCTGTCCCTCAGGCCCCGCCGAGGAGGAGGGCTTGGGAGGGAGGGCTGGCTCCCTGCTGGGGGTTCCCGGGCCTCTCCTCGGCCCTCGGGGTGCCCCTGCTGCTCCTTTTCCCCCATCGAGGCTTAGCCCTCGCCGCCCTCGCCGTTTCCAGGCCTTTACAGCCGGTTGGGTATGCTGTGTGTGGATCAGGAGCAGCTTTGTTGGCTTAATCTGTGCTAAATCCCACCTTTTGGGGGGCAAAAGGGTAATTTGTCGCTTCCCCCGCTGCACAGTGGGGTCAGTGTGAGAGGGCGGGATACGTCACCTCATAACTGCAGCTTCAATAATCATGTGTGGCCTTTTTCTTCCCCCTCCATGCAGGAGATCACTGTTCTCTGCGACGGTAGCAGAGAGGAGCAGCTCATCATGCCGACAGTGGTGGTGATGGACGTGTCGCTCTCCATGACACGGCCGGTGTCAGTGGAGGGCTCCGAGGAGTACCAGCGGAAGCACTTGGCTGTCCACGGCCTGACCATGCTGTTCGAGCACATGGCGACCAACTACAAGCTGGAATTCACAGCCTTGGTGGTGTTTTCGTCACTTTGGGAGCTGATGGTGCCCTTTACGAGAGATTACAACACGCTGCAGGTAGGGTGTGTGAAACACAAAAGCAGGAAGCTGACAACCTTTAAAAAAAAAAAACCAACAAAACCCCATGCATGTTTCCAAAGCATGATGACATTGTGTGATTTCATATCATCCTATGCACAACGTCTTGAATTGAGCGTTTTATCCTTATTTTAAGGATAGGTGAAATCAATGCATTTGAAACATTTTGCTACTTCACAAATTGTACCTTTGCAAGTAACCTCTGGAGTGTGGTTATTTAAGTTAAAAGGAAGAAAGGGCTGCCTGACGAAGCTCTTAAAAATGCCAGTGGTTCTGCGATGTTCACGTTTTTGTCTGTAGTTGTTGATTTGCTCTTGATAAATGATGCAGCAGACAGGGCTCTTTAGAAAGATTTTGAGTGCGGTGATTTGGTAGAGAGAAGATGCTTTTAAGAGTGTGTACGAGTTGAAGCAGGGGAAGAATGAGAATAAAGTGATTTTAGGCCTTGCAGATGTGATGGGGAGTTGGGAGAAAATGGAAAGGATAAAGTCCAAGAAAGAAATTTCATATGAATGCAGTAAGGCACTGACAGTCTCTGAATCCACTAAAAATTGCGCATATGTATCTGGTTATCATACATAATATCGAGACGAAATGATGTGTCACTGGCACAGGGCACCATGTTTTAGGTTTGTCAGTTGTGAGACATACAGATTTTAAAAGATATTCTCTGTTGTGTTTGCATTTTAGCAGGTGAATGCCAGTGCATTACGTTTGCTTTATTTTCCCCTCCCTCAGAGCTGATTTGAGGAATTTCTGAAAGCCAAGAATCCAGCCGAGCTCCTCTAGCGTGTTAGTTTTACAGCTGCACCCTTCTTATGATGCTGTGTTAAACGTGAAGTTTTCATCTTACGCAGGAAAGCTGGTTTATGGTTATGGAAACAGGATGCAGAGACGAATTTTGGATTCTGTTGCTCTCTCTGCCAAAGAGATTTTGTGAGACAAGCTCCTTGTGGCCTACTTTCTGAATCTCTAAGAAGTTAAAGTTGCTCTGACACCTGGGAGGGTTTTCTAAGCTGAATGTTTCATGTTAGACATTGCTTCAAGTTTTGATTTTACTGTTTCTTTGAGACATGCAAAGGATTTTTTTTTCTCCCAAAGAGCTGTGTTTATAATATTATTGTTTCTTCAAAGTTTGCTTTCATTGTTGTCTCGTGATATAGTTCACTATTTCTTATATCTGTCTGTCTTTCTTTTTTTTCTAACTTTGCAGATCATATATAAGAACGTAGCGCTTTGCGTTGGGTTACAACGCAAAGCAAACATACTGACTTACCACAGGACTGTGAATAACTTTTGTACGTTTCCTGGTAGTGATATTTCACCCAGCAATGACAGCGGTGTTTGTCTTTACAGGAAGCCCTAAGTAACATGGATGATTATGACAAAACCTGTCTAGAGTCAGCGCTGCTGGGGGTTTGCAATATTGTCCAGCACTGTTCTTGGGATCCAGCTTATAATTAGTACTCCCTGTAAGTTGCAGATGGAAATGTAAATGTAATTTGGAAACTTTGAATACTCTCAGGCACACTGGTGCTACAGGAAGACAAAGAATTAGTATTTTGGATATATCTGGAATATGAACAGAAGGTGATCTTTATTAAAATACTGAGCAGTGAAAAACTAGACTGCTTCCTGTCCAGTGTGTTATTGTAATGGAGTGGATTATAAAATCTGGCCCAAGAGTACTAGTTTGGAGGCTTGGCATTTGATCTGGCTGCAGTCTTGTGCCCCAGGAACCTCAGTCGGTTTGGAAAGGGTATAGTCACGCATACAATAACCTTTCTCCTCGAGTACCTGGTGGTTTCCAGGGCTTTTAACAGTTCCAGGTCTCAAGCAACAGCATGAGACTCCTCCTGAGTGTGTTTGAATCTGTCTGCTTTCCCTAATGAGTCATTTGGCGTGCATCTGTTCACACACGCCATTCAGCCCTTGCAGCTCTCGGCCTTCTGAATTTGCTGCCTCTTATGGCAAAGTCTGCTTTTAGCCCTCAGTTTTCTGAGACGCTTAAGAGCCTGTTGCTCTTTGGGTTAGGATTTAAGTTCAGTAATTTTGCAGCTCAGTGAGCTAGGAGTATGTCTCAAGCAATATTCCTTAAGCAGCAAAAAGATAGAGATTTATTGTCTAGGCAATGCTTCATAATCTAACAAGGATAAAAGGCACCTTGGAAAAGCAGACATTCAAAGCAAAGAACTAGAAAGATGTAAAACCCAAGCATAGATTAGACCTCAACAATTTGGTCTCTCATTTGTGTCAAGGCTCGTTTTACTGGGACTTCAGGTGATAAAAGGCAGTGGGGAATGTACTGTGCAGAATCTTGTAATAGTGAAAAACATTACGGGTGAGCAACAGTTCAGACGGTAACTGAAGAGACTGCAAGAGAGAGATTGAGGAGGAAGAGAGAATACAAATCTGGATGTAGCAGATATACATTGAGTTTCAGTTGGATTTGATTTTCCTTACCTCTCAGCCAAAAATAATGCCTGCTGTTGCTGTGCAGTGTTGAAAAAGCAGCTGTTTTACTACTCTGGAGATGACTGGGTCTCAGCTGAGTGTAAATAGTTCCATTTTTCAGCGTAATCTATTAGTGCAGGTTTCTACAAGGGGGTGACTTTGGACATGCAACTGAGTGGAAAAATGCATGGTTTTCCTTTAATAGTTCTGCTGCAAAATGTGAGCATACTGCAGCTGTATTTGTTTGCAAAAACTTGGGGTGATTGATACTACATTCTGTCTGGTTTCTGTGACTTGTAGTGGAAGTTGGGTTGCCCTGCAGATTCTGCAGAAGAAATGGGCTTTATTTTCCATCTGAAAATAAACCTGAAGTTCCCGAGTCCATCAGCAGCGGGCTGCTTTTTTGGCTGTGTAGTCACTGTTCTTCTCGTGTACGCTTAAAAATGGCCATGTTTATGCACAGCACGGTGTGTTTCTGGCTATGAAATTTAAATTTTAGTGCAATTGCCTAATTACAACCAAATGTATATTTACCATGCACATAGTTTAAGTTGCAATGGTTAAATCTTCAATTTCTCATTTATGTACCTGTTTCTGGAAATTTTCCTTGCAATTCTTTCCCCAGCTCAGTGGAGGAAATCCCCGTCTGAGCAGGGATTGTCAGGATAGAAGTGCATGCTGCTGGGGAGGCTGCTGAAATGTGTTGGTGTGTAGTTGCCCTCTGCAAATAGAAATGTGTCGTTACTTGGAAATGCCAATCCATCCTGTCTCCTGCCAGGTTGTTCTTGTCACCGATGGCTGCTTGGGGATCGGCAGAGGCTCCCTGCGGCACTCACTGGCTACTCACAACCAGCGAAGTGAAAGCAACCGGTTCCCGTTGCCTTTCCCATTCCCGTCCAAGTTGTATGTCATGTGCATGGCAAATCTCGAAGAGGTGATGTCTTTAACACGTACCTTCTTTGTTGCATTGGATAATTATTGTTCTTCTCTGAACTAATGATCAGGTCAGCACAAAACATACTTTGATGTTCTTGTGCTTAGTTTTAAAGTTTAGTTCAGGTTCCGGTGCTTAGTGTTAGTTATTGGTGAAATTTAACTGTAGTATCTTTTAAAAAGTTTGTTATTGCACTATTATTATCTACTACTATTGCATTATTATGATAATCTTTATAAATTGTGTCAGTTTCTCCCTGGAGAATATTACGCAATTTTTATTTCTCTGTCGATATTATTACCTTTACTGCATTAATTACATTGAATGGATTTTGGGTCTTTTCTTAATCTACCATTAAATTCTTGAATAAATTACTTCTATTGCAAGGATGCTCAACACTTAAAACAACAATTGCTTTATGTAGAAATGTGAGTGACCAAAATCCTAAAGTCTCCAAGCCAGCATTCAAGCCAACTTCCCTTTTGAAGGGAAGGTGACTGTTTTATTTCTTTTCAGGTACCTTTGAAGATCTCAGTACCAGATTTAAAAGTCTTCACAGTAGTTAGAATTCTGTTGAATAAAAAATGATTAAAAAGAAGCCTATATAGACTAAAGTTCCTTAGATTAGGTTTTATTAATAGCATTGCTTTTAACTTGACACCTATACTCTTCTGTCTATCACAGAAGGATTTTCTACTTAGGCAGGCAGTAGATATTTCAGCTTCAAGGTTTCTACCAAGGATGATCCTCTTGATTAAGCTGATGGATTGAAGCGTTGTTTACACATCAGAATAACTGGGAAAATGTTTAAAATAAATCTTTAGTTACTGATAAGTTTAGGTGCTTTAACAAGCACTCTCTAAGAACTTCTCAAAAAGAATTATATCTGCCTTCCCTCTGAAAAATTATATTACCCTGAAGGAGCTGGAAACTTAGCATTACCAATAAAATGTTATACTAGTTAAAGCATTCCTGTGCTCTGGGATTTTTGGTTGCTTGAATCTGCTTTCAAAGCAGAACCTAACATGATAGAACAGTGTATTGGGAGTTGGACTTGATGATCCTTATGGGTCCCTTCCAACTCGAGCTATTCTGTGATTATTTGTTACTGGGCCAAATGCTGCATCTGGTCTAATATAAATGCAACATAAGGAGTGCATTTCCTGGGAGACCAAGAATGCTGGTTTATTCCGAAAGGAGCGAGATAACAAAAAATCATGATAGCATCCAATTAGATGCTTTTTGCTGTGTTGTGTATATTTTCTGAAAACATACTGGTTAATAAAAAGAGAGTAAGAAGAAAACTTAACAAAAACATTTCACTTTATTTTTTTTACAGCTTCAAAGCACGGATTCCTTAGACTGCCTGGAACGGCTCATAGATTTAAACAACGGGGAGGGGCAAATTTTCACCATTGATGGACCCCTTTGCCTGAAGAACGTGCAGTCAATGTTTGGGTTGGTAGACTTGTAGATAATATGCCTTAGTGGAGGTTTTCAGTTAGTATCTGTAAAAAAAGCCAAATATAACCAGAAATCTGATGATATGGGATGTTCTAATTAACTGTTTTTTTCTTTTAGTTTATGATCTTGTTAACTGTATTTTTGTCTTGACCTTCACTGGTTAAGGTCAATATTCATTTTAATCATTCTGTAACGAACCATAGCATCTGTTTACAATTGGCAGATGGAAGATACTAATTTCCAGAATTATTGTTAGTTTGCCATCACTGTGATAATATGCTACTTTGTTTTGTAATTTAGCAATGCTAGAGCTATTGAATTAACTGTAGTAAAAAAAAAAGTTTTGGGGGCTTAGTTAGTGTGCTTTAGACAAACTATTTGCATTTGATATGTATTATGTTTTCCTTAATAATAACTGATCGTGTTCTAGAAAGCTAATAGACCTGGCATATACACCATTCCATGCTGTTCTCAAGTGTGGCCACTTAACATCTGATGTGCAAGTATTTCCCAGACCAGAACCTTTCATTATAGATGAGGAAATAGACCCCATCCCTAAAGCAATTAATACAGGTAATAAATCTTCGATTGCCTTTTATTTAAATCCATTTGATTTCTACCTTTTCACTACCACCTCTTATCCTGCATAGATACTGTTTCATCCACTTTCTCTCTGCAAGGATCAGTCGCTGATTATGTAATTTTTTGGTATGTGTGTACCAGGGGGCAAGAATCTCATTCTGTTTCAGCCATGTGTACCTGGTAAAAGGGCCGGAGTAGGGTAGAGGCACTTTCAAAGCTCAGGGTGCCAGTTTCCAGGGGCAGGGTCTGTGGAAGACAGCCACAGGCTGCTTTGCATGAATACCCTCATAAACTTCATGGAGGATGGGAGAGACGTATTGGACAAGGGGCTGCATTTTGTATTAGAGTTGCCTTTATCAGAAAGACTCTGTATTATCAGGTGAGACAAACTAGCATCTTTCTGGAGGTTTCTTCAAGGAATCCACTAGGAGTGGGGTCGAGAATTGGTGAGGCAGCACAAGTAAAGGTTGAGATTTATGAAATCTCTGTCTTTATAGTTTGTCTGTCATCCTGGCACTTCTTACCCATACTAAGTTATTTTTAAAAACAACTGTGCAAAGAAAACCTTTCTCAGCCCTCCCATTAGCGGACACTGCACCCATGAACAGTTTAGATAGCCCATGCCTGTGACTTGCAAATGGCTAGGTGCACTTCTTGGAGAGAATACACTGAACTCCACTGCTTTGCCCAAAGAATTAAGATTGAACTGTAGCATCAAAATTGCTCTCAGCTCCTCAGCAGTGCTCTTGGCCACATGCATTTTGTTGTTCTTTCCAGTCAGGCAATAGAATGCTGTGGCTCTTGAGCCAAAGGTTGGCACCCGCAGTGACACTCCGATGTGGCTAACTCTGCAAGGGAGCTGATGGGGGTTCCTGCTGGCTTTGTGCTATTTGGGCAGTGCAAAGAAAGTGACGTGGTTAGATCACATGCCCAGGTGTCCTTTTGAATAATTTCTTTTTTGTGAGTTTCTAGCTCTACTGGCAATTTAATTTCCTGGATCTATCCTGTAGGCTTCCTTTTTTTCTGTGTTCATCAACAAAATGTGCACAGCTTGCATGTGAATAAGGACACAATAGGGGTAGAATTTTGCAAGGAAGTGAACTGCAACCCATAAATTACTGCCACCAAGATTGCCCTGATTTGTTTCATTTTTTTTTTTGATCTGCAAGAGAAAAAACATTTCTTGTTTGGGGTGTGATCACTTCTTATTTGTAGCTGCATACTGTTTAAATAGGAATGAATGCATCTGTACCAAAGTAGCAAAAGGAAAGAAAAAGAGCATGCAGTGTGTCTTGGTGAGGGAGGCTTTGTGTTGCATTCAGTCTTAGAGTTCCTCCTGTCATTCCAAAGATGGGAATTTGGCATGAAGGCAATTTTGTTCTGTGTGCATTAAAATGCAGTGTATGGTGTGCTCAGCCCCTTAATTCCTCCATGACTTTAATCAAGTGTTTGTTGTTCAGCTATGAGAAAAATCAATTGAATTGCCTTTGGGCCAGGTCCTTTGCTTGGGCTGTCAAGGAGAAGACTGTGCTCCCCAGTTCCAGCTGCAGTACAGGTTGGAAATGCATTGAATTTCTGATTGTGCCGTACACGTATGGACCTGTGTCCAAAACTAGAGCACACCGTGTGTCACCATGCTTCGTGTAGAGAAGAGTTTACAGAGTAGGTACTCCCTTCACCTCTGCCCGTGTAGAGCTGGTCAAAGGCTAGTCCTAAGCCGCACACCAAAACCTTCACATGGCTGAGAGACATGAAGCCAATACGATATTTCTTGCAGCCAAGAAGTGGGGAGGAAATTAGGCAAGGCTGAGCATGAAGGGCATGTATGCCTCAACCTTTTAGCAGCAAATGCCCACAACTCTGTATGAGAGGGAGCGGCATTTAAACTTCCAGCAGGCATATAAAACTCAAGAACCACAACTCAGTCTTCCCAGTCCTGGGAACGCGCGCCGTTGGGGCTAACCCTGCCAGAGAGTCAATGGGAATTCCTGCAGGTTCTGTGATGCCACTTTGAAGCTAGTAGATTTGGTTTAGTCCTTTGTTCCCTCTCCTTTTGAATTTATGAAATTGCTTTCATAACAGCGTAAAAAACAATGTGCACAATTCTGTATTTGTCTAGTAGCGCAGTTCATGGACAGCAGTATGTGTGTGATGAAAGTTATGTTCTCATCTTAAAGTGTCGTGGTATTATGGATGAACGTTTGTATCTTACTAACACCTAGACACCCCAGTCAAGGCTGGGGCTCTGTTGTCCTGCCTCTAGTCACTGCTTCAGAAAACTCGGTGGTGTAAGAAGTGCTAATGTTAAATCGACTCTGCATACATTTCAGCTATTTCCAAATCTGACTTAAACCTATTGTCTCCCCACAGATCTAGAAATTGTTGGGTTTGTAGATATAGCTGACATTTCTAGCCCTCCCGTCTTGTCCAGACACTTGGTACTGCCCATTGCACTTAACAGAGGTGAGCAAGTTTTGTTTCTTTTAGCAAAAACTGCTTTAAGCTTCCCTTCTAATGTCTGTGGTGGTTCAGACAAGAAGCACAGGTTTTGTGCTTTATCAAAAGGCCAGATGTCTCTAAAGACATGTTTGTGTGGTTACGTTAAAATTAAAACCTTGAACACAAGCTCTTTTTTTGAATACTGTGTTTTTTAGAAAGTTAATGGAGGGAACAGTGTCCTCATAGCATCATTATTAATAGAATGTGCTGAACATAAAGCTAAAAATAGTTATGGGCCATGAAATATGTGGTGCAAGATGAATATTTAATGCCTGCGTCTAATTGGTTCTTGGAATGATTTGTGGTTGTGAAAAATCTGATCTTAATCACAACTCAGTTGTGCTTGAGCATTAATTGCTGCTCACTGGGGCCAAGTATGTACAAATGGCGGGTGTAGGCTTCGAGGAGAGTTAAGCATATTACTGACTTGCAGCTATTTGTGTGCATCAGCCTGCGATAAGAAGGGCTTCCCCGTTCCTTTCGTCATGATCTTGGAGTAGAGCAAGGAGAAAGTGAGATTTCTCTTGGTAAAGAAGAATGAAAGCTCCAGATATGCTTTCATCTCTGTGTTAACACTTATCCTGCTAGGCCTTTCACCGTAGAAGATATTAACAGTTAAATCACAGCTGTATTCCAGCTGCTAAAACATAGTATGTTTCTCGTAATGACTACAAATTGCATAGGAGAGGAAGACTTGAAATTCAGGAGGCTTTTGGTTCAGAAACAGACATGTATTTTTTGCCAGACTCTTGGTGCTCTTTCATTTCGCTTCTAGTTTCTTCAAAGCTGAGGTTTTATTTGCAGTTTTTTGGTAACTCTGTTTTGTGAGCAGGATGGAGTGGCATATTTATATAGCATTATAGTGCCACTTTGCCCAAACGGTTCATTTAGCAGCTGTTCGCTTTGTATTAAAAGTATTCATTAACTCTTGCATGGCAGAAAATACCGGGTGATGTCATGGAAATGGAACTAGTGTGTTTGAATTTATTCTTATGTTGTCCCTTTGTTTGCTTTTATTCTTCCCCAGAAGGTGATGAGGTGGGACCTGGGATCACAGATGACACCGAAGATGAGAATTCAGCTAATCAGATTGCCGGGAAAATCCCCAACTTCTGTGTTTTATTACACGGCAGCCTGAAAGTGGAAGGCATGGTGGCTGTCGTCCAGTTGGGGTATGGAGCTGGATGTCTGCCTGAAAAATCTCTTACTTTGCTCATTTATGATTTATTTATAAATTATGCTTATTTATGTCTGTATTCTGTACAGAACTCTGCACTGCTAGACAAAGCTGTGGATTTCTAATTGTGGATATGTTTCTGCCAGTATAAATTGCAAATAGTGAGCCTCTACACAATGTGAGGGAGGCAAATTCTGGGCAAAGAGGGGTGGAAGATTTTCAGCCTTTGGCATTTGCTCTTTTCAATAGGCCAGAGTGGTACGGAATGCTCTATTCACAAGCTGATAGCAAGAAGAAATCAAACCTCATGATGTCACTCTTTGAACCTGGTCCTGAGCCCCTTCCATGGCTAGGGAAGATGGCACAGCTTGGACCTATTTCAGGTACTAGCCATGCTCATTTGAACAACTTACGTGTATTCTTGTGTGAATGACCTTGCCAAGTCTTAGTTGTTCTTTTTATTTTCTCCCCCCACCCCAGATGCAAAAGAAAATCCTTACGGAGAGGATGACAATAAGAGCCCTTTCCCCTTGCAACCCAAGAACAAGCGCAGTTACGCACAGAACGTTACCGTATGGATTAAACCAAGTGGCCTCCAGGTAATGATACAGGTTTGGGACTTGACAATTTACTTTGATCAGCAGTAGCCATCTTCCCAGCAAAGTGGAGTCTGTGTGTGTCTTGTCCATTTAATGTAATTGCTTTATTGCTTTTCTTTCATTTTTATAAACACTGCCTCTTTAAAACGTCATGATTAAAATGCAATCAGAAAGCACAGCTTGTTTAATGAAAGCTGTGTCTCCAGTGTAGCATCTGGCTTAGTTTATTGGATTTAGTGTAATTACCATTTATGTTTCAGCCTTTGTGAGCTGCAGTCTTGTCAATGGTCAGGATAATTTATCAATAAATAGATGAGGATTTTTTTCTGCAGCTTCTCCAGCAGTTGCCAAGATATTTTTTTTTCCTGTTCTGCAGACGGATGTACAGAAGATCTTGAGAAATGCAAGGAAACTCCCTGAAAAAACTCAAACCTTCTATAAAGTGAGTAACATTTCAGGCTGGCCCAAGTTTGATCCATAGTGATAGCGATGCATTTGACAGAGGAACACATACTGTCTGTGTCTGTGATACATGTGTTCTGTGCAGGCTTGTAAGGCTCTGCAAAAACATACGTGGTTCTGTAAACGCGACATCCTGGGTCTATTTTACAGAGGAGTTAAGGTGAGACAAGGGGGTCTGGTTTCCCTGCTGCCACGTTCTCTGGCAGGGTGGCATAGACGTGTCATGTTTACAGGTGCCCCTCGCGATCCCTGCTACTTCCAGAGTGAACTACTTTGCAGATTTTATGCTGTTATCCAGGCAGAAATAAACTGAGGGATCAGAGAGGAATAGGAACACAGATGTCATTCTGAGTCTGAAAATGTCTCCTACAGTTTTCCTACAACTCAAGCAGAAAAAGACAACATCCCAGGCACATTTGGCCACATCGTAATAATCCATAATCTAGACTGCAGCTGGAGGTAATTGTTGTTCCTCTCGTAAGCTTAGTGCTGAAGCAGTTTGTTACTGTAGCCCCCAGAGACTTCAAGAATGAATACCCTGCCTAAATGCACATAAGCACTCATAAGTTTATAGTGAAGAAAAATCAATATATATACATTTTGCTGGACGCTGTGGCTAAAGGCAGCGGTCCGTGAAGCCTGAGTTGGAGGCCACCCCCCAGCTGGGACACAGACAAAACAGGCAGGTACAATAGCTAAATGCACAAAAGGGAGAAGTGGAGATTTATAGGAAGGGATCAAGGGAAAACCAGCTGTTTAGGCGTGCCGCTATCATCTTCAGCCCTGAAGCATTTTTTTATCTCATGAGCAGCTGGGCGGTTTCCAGCAGCCGTACCGATCACTCAGGCTATTTTCCTCTAAGTGAGTAAGCTTGCCTTTAAAAAAAGAAAACCACGTTTTATGTAAAGGCTGACAGTGGCTTTAAAAGGGGTTTTCCTTCTTTGCAGGAACTTAATCGTTTACGAAAGGCAGCTCTGGCCTTTGGCTTTCTGGACCTCTTGAAAGGCGTGGCAGACATGCTGGAGCGGGAGTGCACCCTGCTTCCAGACACGGCTCATCCGGATGCAGCGTTTCAGCTCACACATGCTGCTCAGCAGCTAAAAGTGGCAAGTACTGGAGCATCGGAGTATGCTGCCTATGATCATAACATTGCACCACTGCAGACAGACTTTTCCAGTAGCAGCACTGAAAGAATGTGAAGTCTCCGTTTTGGGAACTTCTATAGATTTAAGACTCGAGTGGTTCAAATTTTCTTGTCCTGTTTACTTTCTAGGGCCTGTTTAATTACTGTTTGGAGAACTTCCTATCAAAACAGGGTCCCTTACCTGCATCAGTGCTCTCTAAATAAATGTAGCTAGTTTGTGGTGGCTTTAGTCAGACCTGGAAACTGTGGAAAGTGTCCCAAAGCCAATTACTGTGTTGGATGACGGGTGGAAGTTACTCACTACGTGTGAGGAGAGAAAGAAAACGCCATCAGAGGCAGCAGACTGCTTGTGGCTTTTGGCCTCCCTACAATGTTGTTACTACACAACTAAACTCACTGGTGAAGGTATCCTAAAAGGCAGCTACTACACTTTATACACCGACTTCATTAGTCCAAAGAAATCATGTGTGAGAATCACTGTGCGAGATCAGATACACAGCTAATTTCATGGTGGTGTCACTAATTTTATGCCCAACTTGAAAGCCAGTCTGTACTGCCGTAATGAGTTACCACTGGCATTGCAGTGCTAATGCTTGTGAAAGTAACTTCATCTCGCAAGACAAGTTTTTTATTTGTGTAATATTAATAAAGAGTAATTAATCATGAAAACTTAAGTTGGATTTGTACCGTTTTCACAGCAACTAGGCTGTGTGGCCTAAAACATTGACCTGGTGAAGGCTCGGCTCCCAGCTCTTTATCACAAGAGTTAAATAATAAATTATACAACTTCTCACATTTGCAGAAAGAACAAACAACTGAACTAAAGCAAAATTTGGTTGTAAATCTTTATTAATAGAAACACATTCTTTCTGAAGGACTAAAATTCAGTAGTGTAAGATCCATGACAGCTTGCACTAGGTACCACAGTTTCACTGTGAAATATGTATGAATACATATGGATTTCATAACAGAAGTTTAAAAGCCCAGTGAAGAAATTAAAGTATGAAAGTGATCCTTGCTGTTCCATTACTCAGCTAGTTCAATCCTCTGACATACTTCAAACATAGGTACAGCGTGTGCTATAGTGAAACATTAAGTGTGTAAATAATGCCCAACTCTTCTGAGTAAAGTAAGCTGCACTGTCCTTTGAGTGAGCCTCAAGTAGCCGTAAAGAGAAGTTGCATCATTCCTCTTGTTGACAGAACACGTTTGTGAAACGCAGCGTGGAGCTTGTACCAGTTCTTTGTTAAAATCTCCATATAACGCTATTTCTCTTCCTTTACAGTACAGTCACTGGGCTCATATCACAAACAGTGAGCTGTTTGTTACCTTTAATATAGAAAATAATTTTCTTGAGGATTCATATTGTTTTACAATAGAAAAAGATAAATAGTAACATGGCACTAAGCCAATCTCAACTTCAGTGCCTGTTCTGGGTTGCTGGCATTGCTTTGCATTGCCCTGGGGCAGTGGCAGTTATTGCGAAGCAACCTGTTCATAACCACAATACGGTTTAGAGCAAACTTTTTGTACGTTTTCTAAACTGGATTAGGGAGGCCCGAGGGATCTGGAGTTAACTGTGGGAGGCTAGGTGTGAAGAAGGGCATGTTGAAATAGTCACCTGAACCAAAGGTTTCCAGGTGAGAGAGCAGATGACCTGGAATGTGGGGGGAGCGTCTCTGTTGTTGTTGTTGCTGTTGTTTAAAGCAAGCACAGAGGAAAGGGTCCCGTCAAACCCTGTGTGGGATCTCCCTTACTGAGATTTGATACACGCTATCAAAATAATACACAGTTATTTTGACCCACTACTCTATCCCACCACGGGCCAGCCAACAAAGCATAGGCACGAAGTTCTCCCTAAGTTTAAGTAGAAAAGCAAGCTTTACTGCCTTTCTGAAGGCTATAAATACAGGAGCTACAGCCCTGCCAGGAATGATCAGAGGAGCCCGCTCTCCCATGACAGGTCCACGGTTTCCCTTTGCATGGGTGCGATGGAGTTCTGTTGGGGTTCACATGCTAGGAGGAAGCTGGTACCTATGTTTCCGTATTTTGTTATTTTTCAGTGCTTGCGCTGCCAACCAGGAAAGCATTTCTGACCATGTCACAGAGCAGCAGCTTCCTTCCCCTGACTGGATAAGGATCCACACAGTGCTGCTGTTAAGGCTAAACTAGAAACAGACTAAGTTGGTAGCATTTAAATCGACATGAGCTACTTTCAGTTTGAATTCTGCAACACCAGTATGCTGCAGAAGAAAAGGGAGGGGGTATGTGCTGAGCAAGTTTACCCCAACCGTTAATGAACACTGGCTCCTCCTGCCACCTGCGTGCACCCTAGGAACAGCGTGGGCCAGCTAATAGTATATCCCGACATCAGAAGCCCTATCTGCATGCAATATTGAAAGAGCAAATATCCAATTAAAAGATAAACACTATTTCTATTTAGTGCTGCTCCACTGTTTATAAGCATATTATATGCAGATAATAGGATTTCTTTCTCATACGGTAGTTGACAGGATACAAGTTTAAATGTTACTGTTCAATGGTAAGTGCCATGCATACATGATTGAAAGGGAACAAAATACAGTATATGGGAATGTTACCTGAATTCACTAGGAAATCATGAAATCTAGCGTGATCATTTCATTTTACAAAATTCTTTACATTACAGTGGGTAAAACCGTAAGAATTAGAGGCTTATCTTGTCATTGAGATAAGTTAGATAAGAAAGCATTGCAGTCCTCCCTTACTTCATCTTTCTCTTCTTTGGTCCGAGGTGCCGTTTCCTTTGCTTGTAGAGATGACGGCAGTTTACAAATAGCCCTGAAAAAGAATGAAGTGTTTAAGTAGGACATTATTGCATCTTTTTAATGCTAGATGGCTGTACCAAATTTAAAAAAACAACAAAAACCAAACCAACCAACCACCACACAAAAAAGCGATGGTTTAAGGGTGTTTATAGCATTGAAATGTAACGTGAGTTTTTTGTTGCTGGGCGAAGCCGGAGTTGCTGCACAGGCTGTTTGGTACCGGGCTGCTCAGCAGGTTGGTTTGTCACTTTTTAAAAGTTGCAACACCGGTTGTGCAGAGCTGGGGAAGGATCAAACGGGTATTTCAGAGTGAAACTCGATTAAAGGTATTCTTTAAGCAATGTGCGCGAAAGGGAGAAATCTAGTGAAAGTTCAGTTTAAAATTCTAGGTTAGATTCTACCGAGTTGTGGATACCCACACATACCGGGTGTGCGTACTACTAAGCTGACTTATGTTTAAAAATGTTACAGCAGAAACCAAATATGTATCAAGCACCATTCTTCTTTAAATATACTACTATTTAAAGAGCCTTCTATATTGTTTCCTGGACAAACATGACTTCATGTTGCATTAGTGATTATAATGCAGTTAGTTTAGTTAAACATCGCTTTAATTTGAAATTATATACCGAGGTTATAAATACATGTAAAAATTATTCTTTTAAGCCAAGTGATCAGTAGATAATGGTGCTAACTTGTTACCAAGGTCTCCTTCTCGGGGGGCTTAACCAATGCTAATTGTAGCTGTGTTCCCCTCCATGACTGACAAATTTACATAAACAAGCAACAAGGATAATGCTTAACCTCAAGCAATTTTGCGTTGCCATGATCCCCAAGATGCAGGAATTTAATTTTCGTTGAAAAATATACTTATTCAGAGGAAACTGGCCTTTTTATTTCAATAGTGAGAAATACAATTAAATATCTTACCTAAAATCAAGGCTATAATGTATATTTGAAGCAAAAATGAAAACTGGATTGTGACGTTCAGTGGATTTGGCAATCCCAGACTAAATTCCCCTGTTTCACTGAAGATTGGAATGGATTGAACGACACAGATGGCTGAAAGCAGAAGGCCACCATCGTTACCAAACACAGATAAAATATACAACTGCCCAGCCCACACCAACTTTTTCAGGATATTCCCTTCTTATTTGCTAGCGCTCATTAATTATACCAATTTTAAAGCTGTTTTTTTTTTTTTTTTTTTTTTTTTTTTTTTTTTTTTTTTTAAACATGCAGTATGATGGAAAGCAGCTAGCTGAGGCAGTCTAAGCACAGCGAACTTGCCTGGTGAGACACTGTTCTCATACACGACTGCAGCCTGCAGGGCCCGTGCCAGCAGTATTTACCATGCAGAAATACCCACAGCAATGAAACGGGCGTAGTCTTTGCTGTGCTTGGAGTGGGGCAATGCCCAGCCCACTCCTGGCTCATAGAAACAGGTTCTGACAGGTATGATCACAACACATTTCTCACAGCTAGAAGCTGAGCGGTGATATGCTGCTTAAATAAATAAAAATTAAAAATAATCCAGACCCATTCAGACAGAAGAGGTCACTGTAAAGCCCCCCCACCCCGAAGGGCTACAGCAAGAACGCCAAGCGCCTGCTTCTTGGTCAGTTTGTTCAGGGAACCTTTTGTTGCCTTTACTTTCCTCTCCAGTGCCCAAAAGGAAGACTGCTTTTCCCATCAAATTGAAAAAAATATTTGATTCAGTAAGAAAGAAAAAAATGCTTTCACTTGGTTCAGCTCAAAGCAAATGTCTGTCTACCTGTTGTTCTATTATTTTTAAGTCCAGCAGCCAAAAAAAAAAAATTGAGTTATTTGCCCAGCCTTGAATTCAGTATTAAACTGTCTTTTTTGGACATACCTTCCGACAAGCCTCCTAAGGGGTAGAAAGGGATCCAGAGAGTGTAACGGAGCCAGGTTAGTGGTTTCCATTCAATGCCGATACATGAAAGAATGTAATATGGATACCTAAAGCCAGTTCAGTGTGAGAAGAAACAGATGCTGTTTAAAATGGAAGCTGCTACTAGAATTAGTCTTGCATATATATGCTGTGTAGTCAACATAATTCCCAAATGACACAAGAATATTACAATTGTTCCTATGGATCATGATGGACACACCCTTATTTGGCAGTTTACAGAACTTTATGCTGTTATTCTGACCATAGGGATGAATGTAACTGCCTGGCTTGCCTAATAAATCTTTCAAAAGATTGCTTTTAAAAGAGAAACAGAGCATAGTGCAGCTCACTTAACAATGGAAATCCAAAGCAACAGAACCCTCGAGGCAAAAAGCAACAGGTTTCCCTAGGTTCAGGGTAGTACTAATTATTATTTTCAGACTCCAGCCTTGTCCCAGCCTTTGGCAGATGGGACAACCTAGGAAGGCTGTGCCAGTCCATCTCTAAAGGAGATTTTACCCTCTGGGGCCAATGCACTAGAGCCACTCTTCCAAAAGGTACAAGGATCAAAATCTTCTGTAAAGAGTTCTTGGGAACAACCACGTTGTTCTGTACACACCTGCTAGAGGAAAAATCCCACAAACCTGAACAGCTCAATGATACTCCAG